GCTAGCTTGTGAATTTCTTGCATTATTGCGTAAATAAAAGTCTTTTATCTTTCATTGGCTCGTTCTGTCAGTGTCTACCGTAAAAGAAAATCTGTTTTAACAAATAATATATGCTTATTTTGACTTCACAACTTTCTTCCATCACAGAAGCCTCACATAAAAGAAGCGGTTTTCTTACGAGGGCGAATGTTTTGGAAAAGTGATGTTTCCCTAAAGTCGGACTGCTGTGGAAAATGGTTTCTCTCAGGTTGTGGCTATGCCCTGCATGAGGACATTTCCCTTGCAGGCTCTTTGGTGATTTGAGCACATTGTGTTCCAAGATTAAATCATAGAGTAATAGATCTCTGATGGATAACTTGGGGGGCTAAAAACATAAAAATAAAATCATGGCTTGGCTCTGGCATTTGTTTGGTTGGAAACTGTGAAATGTTTGCCCTCTGTGAAAAAGACATTGCCAGATGTCAGCTGAAATATGAACATCATAAAGAGTGATCAAACCGAGGGTTCAACTAATGCTACACAATAATGGCTATTTCTCTGTCAATTTTACAAATATTGAGCTAAAAGATGGTGTGAAATGCTTTATTCCACACATCAAGACTCTACAGGGCACATCACAAATTTTTTTTTCATTTTTCATTTAGCCTCAAATAGCACAGTGGTTGCAAAATATTGCATTTGAATTCACAAAATACGTCATGTTTTTATAGCGTATGCTCATAATATATTTTACTTGAAGATAAACTGAAGTTACTTTGAATTAAGATTTTTATTTATGAAAAAAAAAAGCAGGATTTAACAAAAACATGACTCACCACTGAGCTAAAGAGTCATAGTCTAATAGGATTTTTTGTTTTTTAGTGAGAACATCATTTGAATCATTTTGCTTCACACAAAGTCTGCCTTTTGTTTGGGAGCTAAAAGCTGCTTGCATTGTTCAGAGCTGATCTAGTATTGAGTGTTTTTTTGTTAGTTTTTTTCTAGCCCACAGTCTGAAGACATGCCCAACCTCCGAGGTTGCACCGATGGGTTTGCAGTTTCTTTATTTTTGCACTCATTTGCCACATTAATGGTTTGCCAAAGTCAGACTGCTTGCATGAGTGAGTGAGTGCAGTTGCAACAGAGAGCAAAGCATGCAGGTGAATTTGGTTAAACTGTGTTTATATGTCTTTCAAATGCTCTTTAGATCGCTTTGAAACATGTTGCCAATTTTAAAGCGTTCTTCCTACTCTCCATCAAACGTCTGATCAGTCGTTTTCAGACCAGTTTGAAGCATGTTACGCTTGAATGGGAACGTTATCGCTGCACCAGTTTATGCAAGCTAAAAAAAGATGCTGCTGTCAACAATGATAAAACAAACATACTTGTACTTTTGTTTGATCTTCCAGCAATGAATATGGCAAAAACTACAAGAAGTTGAATGAATTGAGATTCATGTGAAAGAAGTCATACATGGTTTGTGACTTTACTATATTTATAGTACAAAGTATAAAGTATCCACATTCCATTTATATCACAAAAATGCATTACTGTAGCTTACATAAAAACTTAGCACATGTGACATTTCCTCGGCTTTCTCACTTAGTTTGTACCGTTCAGAAACTAAAGGCTTCCTGTTGCCTGAACTAACAGCTGAAAAGACCATAAATACAACCCAACTGCAGGCATAAAATGAGCCGTGAAGGTCTAAGTGGAATAAATTGTCTGAAGGCACAAATTGCTTCAAGCACTATTTAAAGGAAACACTATTAAAGTCTTGCAAGTCGTTATTGATGCCAGGTTTAGTGGCGAGAAACATCAGTCTTTTGGTAGGTCATTGTGTGTAGTGTGCACACTGAGTACGGATCTTTGTGTGTGTTTCCAGAAGTATTTAACCACAAAACAACAAAAGCGAAACACGTGCCGTTCTGGTTCATTCTGATCATTAGCTGTCAGTGTGTGACTGGAGTTATACATTGAACAAGTGCAAACACATGCACTCGCACACGCTGAACACCTCTCAACACCAGAGCCTTTCTAAATACAGTGGGCTTTCACACAGTGAAATGTTTTTTTAACGTATGGGACACGTGATCCAGTCTAAGGCCAAGTCTTTGTGTAGGGAATGCTTTTTATGGCAGACAACAGAATATATCTTGACTCTAACATTTAGAGACACTCACTAAATAATTAACATTGCACCTTGGAGAAGATTGATACATAAAGGTTTATTTATTTATTTATTTATGGTCAAACTGACTGTAACAGTGACATGAGAGGAAACTGAGACAAATAAAGTGCATTGAGGCTTCAATGTTAAACTGACGCCGCCATCTAGTGGCAAAACCCAGGCAGGGGTGTTTTAATGAGAAATGGGAACTGGGGGCAAGTAGAAGAAATGAGGAGGGATCTGAGTTTAGCAGAAAATTATAAATACATAAACCCCCAGATTAAAACACAAAACAGCAATGTGACCCCAAATAAGTAGAGATTTACATCTATTAGTAAAACAGCTGAAAATACCATAAACACAACCCAACTGCAGGTTTGGGTGTGGTTTTACTGATGCATGCATAATACTAATACTGTACAACTCTTTTTCTGAACCACTTGGTTGTCCTCAGGCTGTTTCTGTGAGTAACAAGTTGGCCATCTGACCTAAAACATTTGATTGCTGTACATGATGATTGATTGTTTTGGATAGGTGTGTTTTGCACATGTTAAAAGTTTACTTTTGAGATCCCAGCAGGAGGTTGGCTTGAAACAGCAGTGAAGGCTACCTATGGGACAGATCTGGTTGGGAGGCCATAGACTGAAGAAGTCCTCTGGATGGGGGACGAAACATTTCTCACTTAAAGAAACTAGTCCAGTTGACACAATTTAACCTTTTTTGTTGTTATTACTAATACTTCCATTTTATTTCAAAAGTAGGTTTAGAGTAATAGAGTTTAATAATCTATTTGAAGTTAAAATATTCATGAATGGTGTCTCGTTCCATCCATCCATCCATTATCTTTACCCGCTTATTCCATTTTGGGTCACGGGGGTCGCTGGTGCCCATGTCCAGCAATCACTATGCGAGGGGCGGGGTACACCCTGGACGGGTCGCAAGTCCATCACAGGGACACATAGAGACAATCGAGACAAACAACCATTCACTCTCTCATTCACACCTAGGGACAATTTAGAGTTACCAATCAGCCTAACATGCATGTTTTTGATCTGTGGGAGGAAACAGGAGTACCCGGAGAAAACCCACACATGCACGGAGAGAACATGCAAACTCCACCCAGAAAGGCCCCTGGACCGGGGTTTGAACCAGGGACCTGCTCGCTGAGAGGCAGCAGCTCTACCAGTTGCGCCACCGTGCTGCCCCGTGTCTTGTTCCATCAACGACTAAAATCCCCAAACAACTAAACCAGGGCTGCAAAATAACCTAAAACACCCCCTGAAGTGTCAACAAAAACATTTACTATGATATAAACAAAAACTTTCATCCATAGAGCAGTTTAGAGGTGCAACACAACCACAAACTATAAATTAAAGGTGTAGCATTCCTTGAAGAAATGTATACTGCTCTTATCACCTTTTATACAGAGATTTTTGCTTATGTAGACAAATGGAGTGAAGTGGTAAAACCTTAAAATACCATTATGCACAGTCTCATGCATTGTTGCAAGATTTCAAGTGCAAAAAACTGCTGCCACATAAAAATTTGGCTCAATAAATGCAAAAATTATTGGGTTAAGCCATTTTGGGGTTGAACAATGTCAATTACGTGTGATGGCCATCTCTTAATTTTTAATATAGTGTTCCTGTACATCTGTTAATATTTTCTGAGTGTTTCAGTCAGATCCATGTTTTGCTAACAAACAAGGTTTACTCCACCAATGGTTTAGTTTTTTGCAAATCTTGCCCAATGAGTTCCATAAAACTTGGAATATGTGTTGTGAATAACTCTTAACTACTGCCTTATTTTAGCTCATCTGTAAATGTGACTGAATAATATCCAAATTTGTGTTTTGTTAGGCTAGCTGGCTGTGGCAGCTATCTTGAATCGGTATGTGTCAAAAGAGTAACTGATTTTAGAGCTAAACAATGATTTTTTTTCCTGACCGTTTTATTAAATGGTGTTACAAGATTCATGAGATATTTTTCTAACACAGAGAGATTGAGTTAATTCAAAGGGTTAATAGCAAAATTTCAAATGGAAATTTTTAGCACCATCTGTTAACGCTCAGAACACATGTTTGGATCAGTCGTATTTATGACCACACATATTTTTAAGGTGATATCTGTAATATGTAGTGAACTATAACCAATTTTGTGCATGTTAAGCTACGTAAATTGTGGCAGCAGTCTTGAATTGGGCTGACTCCAAAAGTTAATCTGTTGTATATGTACATTCAACACTTTCTTCAAGATTTAATACAATTTACCCATACCATACCATACCATACCAATTTATTTATATAGCACTTTAAACAGTGACAAAGCACACCAAAGTGCTGTACAGGGACAAACAGAACAAGCACATAGCAACAGATTACATAACAGGACACCAAAAA